AACCCTATGAATGTAAAGAATGTGGGAAAGCCTTTACTGCGAATGCTCAGCTTACTCGACATGAGAAAATTCACAACCATCAGAAGTCCTATGAATATAAGGAACGTGGGCAAACCTCTGAGTATGAACAATTTACTCAACTTCAGAGAATTTATACTGGTGAGGAATACTATGAATATAAGAGAATGTGGGAAGACCTTTCATCATGGTCTGAGATGTGCTCAACAGCACAGTATTCATACTGGTGAGAAACTCAATGATTATAAGTAATGTGGGAAGATAGTCACAGTAAACACTGTCAATTTAAGAGAAGACACTCTGGTGAGAAAATATTTGAATGTAAGGAATATGGGGTAGCCTTCCTATTTGCAGTTTACTAACCATAAAAGATATTTTATTAGATATATTAATTTCATAAACAGAAAGGCCTTCAAACTCAAACTAGAGAAAAACTATTATCAGAACAAATGTAAATAGAAGTCTGAGATACATACTTTATCATCATTGCCACTTCACGACCTGTGTGACATTAGGTTAGATGCTTAGCCTCCTATTGCATCATTTGTAATAATGAGTACCTAGTAGTGCAGTTATGGAAGAAATGTGTCATAGTTCATATGAAATCATCAAAAATGTATTTTACATTATTTCATCAGCATTACTGTTACTGATATCAGAGGAAAATTACATTATTGAGAATAACTTAGAAAAGCCTACCCATTTATCCATTATTAAGCTTTAAATAACTAATTCTGGATGAAATCTAGTGGAAGGTAAAAAAACAAGAGGATTGTTATCAAGAGCTCATTCCTTAAGTTACATAAAAAAAAAAGTTAATGCTGGAAAGAAATCCTATGGATTTCATAAATGTGGAGATGTTTAAAATACAGCTATTGAAGAATCAGAGTTTTTGAAGTGATTTGCTTATAAAAATTTCATCAGGCAGAAAATGTATAATTTATGTTCTCTGTCTAGAAGCTGTTAGGTATTTTAAAAATTAGCAAAATAAAAACTATCCACATATATTAGCCAACTCTTTATCATGAAAATTGTTACACATATGGAAAAGTTGAAAGAATAGTTAAATAAACTGCTAATCCAGAGTCACAGTTATTAACAATTTGACACGTTTATTTTTTGTTGTACCATTGAGAATGTTTTAGGCATCATTATACTTTGTCTTTGTTTGGGAGATACTGGTGTAATAAGGGATAATCTCATATATAGCCATAGTACTATAATTACCCTTAAGGAAATTATCCATAATTCCTTAATATCTATCCTATATTCACATTTCTTCATTGGACTCTATAATGCTTTTCACAGCACTTTATTTTCTAAGGAGATGCTTTCCAGATCAATGTATGTGCTTATTAGCTCCCTGTAGTCTCTTAGTCTGGAACAGTGACTCTCAAACTTTCTTGGGTATGAGAAACCTGTGGAACTTGGTAAAAATATAAAGATCCCACCCCTACCCTACAATACTTCAGTGAGTCTGGGTCTCTGTTTTTTAATGCCAGGTGACTCTGGGGGCACACCAGGGTTATAGAGCCACTGGAACATTTCTCCTCATTTTTTTATGGTGTTGGCTTTTTGAGAAGTCTTGAAAAATTGTCTGCCATGTGTAGATTTTTTTTATAGTGCCATTTAGCCTTGCTCTATCCTTTGTATTTTCTGTACAAAGGAAGTTAGTTCTAGAAGCTCCATTATGTTAGGGTTAGATGTTTGGGGGGAAGAATACTTTGTAGGTTACGCTTGTGTGTCATATTGCAACATCAGAAAAAATGTAAGGACAGGTCATCACACTGTTAATGAAACTAAATTTGATTATTTGGGTAAGGTGGCTTTTGGATCGCCATTGTAAAGGTCTAGTTTGCAGTTGGTAAGTAATTTGTGTGGAGAGACTTTGTCATCTCTTTGGAAATTATTAATTGTGTATTTAAAGCATAGACCAAATAGGAAATAAAAATTGAAATAGACTATTCAGGAATGAAGAACATTAAAATGTCCACATAATTGAACTTGCTGGATGTGGCTGAACCTAAACTCTGTACAAAATTAGTATCCTTCAGTGTATACAGGAAACCAAGACAGTTTTGACCAGAACCTTGGTTTGTTGTTGTTCAGCACTCTATCCCCAGCACCTACTGTGCCTGGAACATGAGAAATTGATAAACTTAAAAAATTTAAGCTTTCAAGTCAAGAGTAAAACAAACAGAACATAAGCTAATTTAAGGAAGCAGCATAGTAAAAATGAGGATTAATTGCTGGGAAACAAATAGACTTCATCCATTTTTTATTTTATCCAGATTTTTTGAAACATAACTAACATATAACATTGTATAAATTTAAGGTGTGCAACATGATTTATAAATTGCAAATGATTACCACAATGTTAACAAACCCATTACCTCACATAGTTACATTTTCTGTGTAACTTTTAAGATCCACTCTTTTTGCAACTTTTAAATATACAGTACAGTATTGTTAACTCTAGTCACCATGCTGATCATTACATTCCCATAACTTATTTATCTTTTAACTGGAAATCTGTACCTTCTGGCCATCATCACCCATTTTCCCCAATCCCCATCCCTGCCACTGGCAATCACCAATCTGCTCTGTTTCTGAGTTCACTATTTTAGGATTCCACATATAAGTGAGATCATCCAGTATTTATTCTCTGTATGACTATTAGCATAATGCCCTCAAGGTGCATCATTTGTCAAAAATGGCAGGATTTCCTTATGAATAATATTCCATTGTGTGTGTGTGTGTGTGTGTGTGTGTGTGTATAACATTTTCTTTATCCATTCATGTCACTGGACACAAGTTGTTTCAATTTCTTGACTATTATAAATAATGCTGTAATCAACATGGGGGTGCCGATATCTCTTCAAGATCGTGATTTCATTTCCTTCGGATATATACCCAGAAGTGGAATTGCTGGATCATAAGGTAGTCCTATATTTAATTTTTTGAAGAACCTCCATACTGTTTTTCATAGTGGCTCCACCAATTTACATTCCCACTACCAGGTGCAAGCATTCCCTTTTCTCCACATCCTCTCCAGCACTTATCTCTTGTCTTTTTGATAATAGTCATTCTAACAGTGTGAGGTGATATCTCATTGTGGTTTTAATTTGCATTTCTCTCATGATTAGTGATGTCGAACACTTTTTCATGTACTTGTTGGTCATTTGAATATCTTCTTTGGAAAAAATGTCTTCAGGTCCTTTGCCCATTTAAAAATTGGATTGTTTGTATTTTTGCTATTGAGTTGTATGAGTTCTTTTTGTATTTTATATATTAACCTCTCATCGAATATGTGGTTTGCAAATATTTTCTCCCCTTTCATAGGTCGCCTTTTCATGTTTTGATAATTTCTTTTGCTGTGCAGGAGCTTTTTAGTTTGATGTAGTCCCACTTGTTTATTTTTGCTTTTTAAACTTGTTTTAGGTGAAAAAAATATATATATATAATTGCTAAGCCCAGTGTCAAGGAGTTTACCCCTTTTGCTTTCTTCTAGTTTTATGGCTTCAGGTCTTTTATATATATATATATTTCAAGTCTTTAATATATTTAAGCCTTTAATCCATTTAGAGTTCATTTTTGTGAGTGGTGTAAGAGAGCTCTCTGGTTTCATTCTTTTTCATGTGAATATCCAATTTTACTACACCATTTACTGAAGAGGCTTTCTTCTCTATTGAGTGTTCTTGGGTCCCTTATCAAATATTAGTTGACCATATATGTATGAGTTTATTTCTGGGCTCTAGATTCTGTTCCATTGTGGTCTGTGTCTGGTTTTATGCCAGTACCATACTATTTTGATTACTGTAGCTTTATAATATGGTTTGAAATTAGGAAGTTTGTCTCCAGCTTTGTTCTTTTAAAATATTGTCTAAGCTATTCTTAATCTTTTGTATTTCCACATATGTTTTATAATCAACTTAGCCATTCCTTCAAATGCCTTTTGGGATTTTGATTAGATTCCATTGACTTTACATCAATTTGGGGAGAGCTGACTTCTAAACATTATCGGGTCTTCTCATCCATGATATTGGTATATCTTTCCACTTACTTAACTTCTCCAGCTTCTCTCAGCAAAACTGTGTCATTTTCAGGTAGTGAACCTGCATGTGTTTTGTTAAATTTATTCCTACGTATTTTATGTTCTTTATAAATGGAACTCTTCTCTTTGAAATTTCATTTTAGTTTGCTGTGATATAAAAATTCAATTTGAGGGAGTATATTGTCCTTGAAACTATAAATCCTTCCCACAAAGAAAACTCAAGGCTCAAATAATTGACCCAAGATTTAAGAATGGAATAATATGAATTTTACAATATTTCTTTCAGAAACTAGAGAAAGGAACATTTCCCATTTCATTTTATGATGTCAACTTGACACTGATACTAGAACCTGAGAAAGAGATCATTAGAAAAAAACATTACAGACCAATATCAACAATAAACATATACACGAATATCTCCAAAACTAATTAGTAAATGGAATTCAGCTACATGCCAAGTAGGGCATAACCCACGAATGCAAGGCTGGTATGACATTCTAAAATTAATCTAAGTAAATCACCACATTGAAGGAGAGAAACCAAAATATCATGTCAATAGTTGCTTTTTATGTATTTGACAAAATTGAACACTAATATGATAAAGGATATTTATGGTAAGTGAGCAGCTAATATAACACTTTATGATAAGATATTGAATGCCTTTTTCCTAAGGTCAGAAACAAGGTCCGCTCTGAGTGCTTTTATTCAACACTGTCCTACTCTGTGCAATAAAGCAAGTAAAGGAAATAAAAGGAAATAAAAATGAAAAAGGAACTGTCTCCCCAGATGTCTTGATTGTATTTATAGAAAACTCCAAGTAATTTATAAAAAATTAACTCTTCTAGAACTAAGTGAATTTAGCAAGGTCATAAAATACAAAGTCAATATTTAAAAATTCATTACATCTTAAAGACAAGTTGTTTCTAGTTTTTAAAGAACAGTTCATTAAAATTCCAAAATCTTATTAATAAAAAGGAAACTATAATACTGCCTCACACATGACTATAGATGGAAAAATTCTAATTAAGATATTCTAATTAAGATAAGTGAACTCCAGCAGTATGACAAAAATCACAGTATATTACAAGAAATGTTTAAAATTCAAGAAATTAATGAGTACAAATCAATACATCAATAACTTTAAGGAGAAAAACATAAGATTATACCAACAGATAACAAAATGGCCTTGTTCAAAATTTAGCAGTCACTACCAAACAAAGTAGGCATCCTCCACTCCCCAACATAGTATATCGCAGGAAAATATTTAGAGGCAACAAAGAGAATTACTCTTCAAATAAAGAGTGAATATTATAGTAAATGATTAAATGTTATGAAATTTTCCATTAAATTTGGAGAAATTGATGCCTGTATCACCATTATATTCAACCTTCTTTAGAAGAGTCTAGCTATTGCAATCAGTAAACAAAGTAATAAATTAAATATTGGAACATAAATAAAATTTTATTTCCAGATTATACAACTTATAGCCTAGAAATCTGTCTCATAAAAACAGGATGAGTGTTCAGGAGACATAACCAATGCTATATTTAATGAAGGAGAAAATAATTGCATTGATATAGCAAATGAAGTGTTCAGAATGGCATTCAAGTCAAGTAGAAAAACAAAAGAACAAAAATAATGGAGAAAGTCAAGAGTAAGAAAGTCAAAGTAAAGAACCAAGAAACATGTTTGAACAAATGCTCAACTGAAGCTGAAATGTATAAAAACATATATTAAAACATCTAGAGTGAGGCTATAGGAATACTCAATGTGATAGTATTCCTGTGAAATTGAGTATTGACAGGAGTCTAAGAGAATAATCTGACAATATCTAGTATAACTGGAAGTGTACATGACCTTCGATCAATTTAGCAATATCTAACATGACTGAAAAAGTATATAATGTATGAGCAATCCTACCTCCACATGTTCAGTTAAAGAAATTCCAGCTTACACAGACCAGTGATCACAGACAAGGATATTCACTGAAGTATATCTGAAATAGTGAAAAACTCTTGAAACCTAAACACTAAACAATGAGAGGTTTAGATACACTATAGTATATTCGTATAAAAAAGTGGGCCAAATGGGGTTTTTATTTTGTAGAAAAATTCAGAGGGCAAGCAATTGATTGCAGAGGAAGATGCGAGCAGCAGAGAAATACACCATGCATTTCTTTTCTCAACACAGCTAAGCATCTGCCATTTTAACTAAATAATCCATCCTTAGGGTCACTCTTTTTTGGTTATGGCAGCATTTCCAGTGTGGGTTCACATCCCAAAGATATTAGGTATTGTGAATGGGACTTCCTTAGTAAATTTTAAGATACACTGGGATAAACAAAGTCATACAAATTATCTTTAGTGTAGGACTCATCTTCTGATAGCCTAATAAGCACTTTTTTTTCCTTAGAAGAGATTTAGTGTTCAAAGCTTCATAAGCCTGTGTGATCACAGAACATTTTTAAAGTACCATTATATACTGTTCCCAGAGATATTCTTTCAGATACGTTGGGTTAAGGCACTGGTATCTATTTGTAATATTAGAGATTATGGAATTACTAATTTCCTTAGATTTGAAGTTATATAAGTAAGAGGCAGCCTTTATTCTTAGGAGTCACATGATTATATACAGATAGGTGAAATGTCATGTCTACACTTTATACTCAAACAATACAGCAAAAATGTAAAAAATGATATAGAAGCAAATCAAAGATGACAATGTATGAATAATCACTGAATCTAGAAAGGGCATACCAGTGTTCACTGTATTATTTAAACATTTTTTCCAAATGGACAGTAGTCTTTTGGTTGTTAGTTTCTAATTTATCATGAATTTGGGGCAGAAAAAGCAGACTGTAATTTGTCTGCTTTTTGGATTATGAAAAGAAAAAGGATTACAGCTTTCCCTGATTCTTCAAAAGCTTTACTTGCATAATCTTCACAAAACTCATCAACTCTAGAGATGTTTTTCTCACATAAGTTTTCAGAGATGAGTTCTGATTTTAGAAATGAAAGGTCATTTTACTAGACTTTACTCACAATAATCTCAATATAAGTAACGAGTACAGGGTAATGGAAGGCTTTTACAAATTGCTTACACTCATAGGGTCTTCTTCTCACATGAATTTACTAATAATATTACTAATGATAAAAGTAACAGTGGTATGCATTGAGCACATACTCTTTTAAAGGTTTTGTCTTTTTATTGATATTTCATCTTCACAAAAATACTATTACGTAGGTACTTTTATCACTATTTTAAAACTGAGGCACAGAGAGAAGTGTTTTGCCAAATACCACACACAGGCTGAGGTGGAATTGTAAGAATTACAGTAAAAATAATGCTATAGCTAAAGCCTTTTCCTACATTAACAGAATTATTTTTTTAAAGATATGAATAGTTTTAAAAATTGTCACACAGGATACACTTTTAGATATCAGACATTTCATGGGAGGGTGGGTTTTCTCTTTATTTACCCATAGGATTTGTCTAGCCCAGAGTATGGTGACCCCTTCTTATTCCTCTATTTTAAACTGCAATAATTTTGTTTCTTTATATTTTACTGAATCTTCCAACGGATGTATCCCAAACTACCATAAACAGCAACATAAATATTTAGGTGGCTTTAGCTAAATTTGTGAGCATTTAGTCATATAATGTCTCATTCAAAATTATCTACTTCAACAATATTTGAATTTGGCTATCAGAAATATTGCAGTTCACACTGGCTATATCTGTGCTTGTGGCCGTTGTTCAAATGAAATGTTGAGAAGCCCTCCGTTTTCTTTGGAAGTTTCCAAGTAGCTCTGGGATAATGCACAAAGTCTGGGCCATCTTTTACCAGGGACATGGTCACATAAATACAGTCACACCAATGTGAGAATAAAACATAGGTGTATTTAGGTTTTTAGGAAAGGCACACTACATTTGCAAGTGACCTATGATCAGTGGTTCTCCCAAATAAATGCCAGCAGGCTTGCAAAGGTAGCTAGAATAAGTCAATATATCCCTTTCATAAATTCATTCCTCATATTTTATATAAGTAAAACACATTTTATGATTCTTCCTAAAGTACCCCCGGCCCCCTTTTTGTTCACTCTAGAAGTATTTTCTGTTACAGCGCTATATAAAGTGTGGTCCATGTACTGATTGATGCTGATCCAGTGTTTGCATCTGGTCTGTAACGAGGTGAGGTGTAGACACTGAGAATAAGCATTTAGAAACCTTTATAACAATTTGACAGAGCTAAGTTTATGTCCGTTAAATTCAACAATAAAATCAGGGCTTTCATTTGTACGACTTTTTCTTTCCATACCATTCTTTCTGGCAATCCTATTTTACTGCATTTTATAAAAGTTTTGGTGAACAACAGTGTGTGTGTGGGGGGTGCCCTTCACCTTGGTCTGAGATGCACTGCACCAATATCAATTTGCTAAAGTTTAACCAAGACTGGATGATGCTATAATTTTTCAACTGTTTACATCAACATGTATAGTATAAAACTATTTCTGTTAAATTTTAAGCATGAAATGAGGGATTCCCACATGTTACCTAACAAGTAAAACATTTCTTAAATTATGAGTTCTCTGCTGTTTAAAAGGCAATTTCTAAAGGCCATTGTATCCTCTTTATATTATGCATAGGGTTTCCTCACTAATATGATTTCTCTGATGCAAAGTAAGTTGATCACTACGAATAAAGGCTTTCCCACATTCTTTACATTTGTAGGGTTTCTCACCGGTATGAATCCTATGATGTCGAGTAAGTTCTGAATTAACACTAAAGGCCTTCCCACATTCTTTACATTTATAGGGTTTCTCACCAGTATGTATTGTGTGATGTCGGGTAAGTTCTGCTTGAAGACGAAAGGCATTCCCACATTCTTTACATCCATAAGGTTTCTCACCAGTATGCAGTCTGAAATGTTGAGTAAGATGATACCGACGACTAAAGGTCTTTCCGCATTCCTTACATTCATATGGAATCTCACCCGTGTGAATTCTTTGATGTAAGGTAAGTTGATAACTACAGATAAAAGCATTCCCACATTCATTACATATGTAGGGTTTCTCACCAGTATGGATTCTGTGATGTTGAGTAAGATGATAGTGACGACTAAAGGTCTTCCCACATTCTTTGCATTCATAGGGTTTCTCACCAGTATGGATTCTGTGATGTTGAATAAGATGATTGCTACGAATAAAGGCTTTCCCACATTCCTGACATTTATAGGGTTTTTCGCCAGTATGAATTCTGTGATGCTGAGTAAGTTCTGTTTGAAACCGAAAGGCCTTTCCACATTCTTTACATTCATAGGGTTTTTCACCAGTATGAATTTTATAATGTTGAGTAAGATTGTAACGACGACTAAAATTCTTCCCACATTCCTTACATTCAAAGGTATTCTCATTGGTGTGAATTCGCTGGTGTGAAATAAGTTGATTACTACGAATAAAGGCCTTCCCACATTCCTTACATTCATAGGGCTTCTCACAAGTATGAATTCTGTGATGTCGGGTAAGTTCTGCTTGAAGACGAAAGGCTTTCCCACATTCTTTACATCCATAGGGTTTCTCACCAGTATGAATTCTATAATGTTGAGTAAGATGATAGCGACTGCTGAAGGTTTTCCCACATTCCTTACATTCATAGGGAATCTCACCGGTATGAATTCTCAGATGTAAAGTAAGTTGATAGCCACAAATAAAGGCCTTTCCACATTCCTTACATTCATAGGGTTTCTCGCCGGTATGAATTCTATGATGCCGAGTAAGTTCTGTTTGAAGACGAAAGGCTTTCCCACATTCTTTACATTCATAGGGTTTCTCACCGGTATGGATTCTATGATGTCGAATAAGTTCTGCATGAAAACTGAAGGATTTACCACATTCTTTACATTCATAGGGTTTCTCACCNGGTTTCTCACCGGTATGGATTCTATGATGTCGAATAAGTTCTGCATGAAAACTGAAGGATTTACCACATTCTTTACATTCATAGGGTTTCTCACCAGTATGAATTTTCTGATGTTGAACAAGGTATGAGCCATGACTAAAGGCCTTTCCACAGTCATTACATTTATAGGGTTTTACACCAGTATGAATTTTCTGGTGTTGACTAATATGTCGTTGAACCCTAAAGGTCTTTCCACAAATCTTACATTGATAAGGCCTCTCACCAGTATGAATTCTTTGATGTTCTGTAAGTTGATAATGAAGTCTAAAGGCCTTCCCACATTCTTTACATTCATAGGGTCTCTCCCCAGCATGAATTGTCTGATGCACTCTAAGGTCTCGAACACGACTAAAGGCCTTCCCACATTCTTTACAGTCATAGGGTTTCATACCAGAATGTATTCTTTGATGTTCGGTAAGATGATAATGAAGTCTAAAGGCCTTCCCACATTCTTTACATCCATAGGGTCTCTCCCCAGCATGAATCGTCTGATGTACTCTAAGGTCTCCCACACGACAAAAGGCCTTCCCACATTCCTTACATTTATAGGGTCTCTCACCAGTATGAATTCTTAGATGTTGAATAAGGTATGACTGTTGTCTAAAAGCCTTCTTACATTCCTTACATTCATATGATTTCTCTCTAGCATCAATTTTCTGATGTAGAGGAGGAGATACATGCTTTTGGATTATCATTTTACTAACACATCCCATCTGTCCTTCTTGTAGCTCGAACTCATGCTTATACTGCAAATCATTTCTGAAAACTGTATCCTGATGGATGAAGGTTTTATTCTTTTCTGTCTGTAACTGAGATAAATATATTTCACAAATATCCTTTTCTGGAAATAACTTCTTGGCAACATACTTAGACTCCAAATCTGAAAAAAAACAAAACAAAAAAACAAACAAAAGGGAAACAAATGCTGTTATGTGATTCTTCTGTGCTGGGGGTGGGGTAAGTGGTTGCATTTCATAGTAGAGAGTGGCATGAGGAAGGGATTACTTTTTGATGTGATGGATATGTTTACTATTTTGATTGTGTAATAGTTCCACAACATACATTATGCCAACTTATCAAATTACACACTTTAAATGTGTACACTTTTAAATATGTTCAGTACTGTATGACAATTATACATCAATGAAACTTAAAATGGGTGCATTTTATATTATGTAAAGTATGTGTCAATACATACGATTAAGAAAATACACCTGACCCATGACTTAGCAGTTCCAATTCTATATATTCCCAATAGAAATGAAAACACAGGAACACGCTAATAAGTGTAACAGAATGTTTAA